CGAGAGAAAGAGAAGGGAGCAGAGTATGACGAGCACTGATAGGAAATTGCGAAGCGTCTGATGCGGGAGTAGACATCAATCGACTTGATGTGAATGAGACGCCTGCTGGTGCTGCCGTGGATACCTCTTGACAAATGTTATGGAAAGATGTTGCGACATTCGACTCTCGTAGGGAACAGCCTAGTTGGTTGTCTGACTGACTCATTGATGCCCAGGCTCTTATGATCTGAGGCGGTGTTGGCTGGCCTTACCCTTGTCGACGCGGGAGGACGAGAAAGGAGATCAATCAGGAATACCCACCACCAAACGGGTCATTGGATACTAAAATGAGGAAGCCCTCCGTCAAAGCAGTTCAGTACCTTCTCTTGGCGCGGGGGTCGTCGTACGAGTCGTCCTCGTGGTATCTCTTGCGCCCGTAATCGTCGCCACGGCTTCCATATCTATCGCGCTCGCGGTCACGGTCACGGTCGCGGTCGCGGTAGCTACCGCGATGACTGTCCCGATCACGGTCTCTGTAGCGATCACCACCCTCACGGTCCCGGTCTCGGTCTCGGCGGTCGCGATCACCGAAGCTGTCCCGGGGTCTGATGGGTTCACGGTTGCTACCAGTGCCTCCCCGGTCTTCACGGCCACCAAATCTGCCACCTCCACCGGGGCCACCGGGGCCACCGGGGCCACCGAAGCCACCACTGCGTCCACCTCCGGGACCCGAGGGAGCGTTGGGAGGAGCCTGTCCGCCGAAGCCGTTGCGGCCTCCTTGGTACCCGACACCGCCGCGAGGACCGAAACCACGATCGTTACGGAAGCCTCCCCGGCCGCCTCTGCCACCGCCAAAGCCACCGCGGAAACCACCGCCAAAGCCACCGGGGCCTGAAGGAGCGTTGAAAGATCCAGGTCCAATGGGCCGGGAAGGCAGAGCCTTGGTATAACCTCGTCCTCCAAGACCACCGCCAAAACGACGGGGCTTCCAGCCCTTGACAGTCCGACCACGCTCAACATCTACCAGAACCCGGCGATCCTTGATGCGAATGCCATCTGTCTCTTTGTAGGCCGCTGGATTTCGTCAAGAAAAAAACACTAGGTTAGCAATCAAGTAGCACGGGAGATTGTTATACCAGGAGTAGTCATCCGGGGTAATCGGCGACTAGATCTGTAGCAATACCTTTCATGTCCTTTTCGCGCTCATACACGATGAAAGCATATCCTCTGTGCGCTTTCTTCGAACCCTTTGGCGTTACGGTGTCCTTGACGATACGAATCTGATGATGGTCAGTTTAGCTACTCTGATAAGCGCGCGTTCGGGAGACGCAGGTAACCATACTCTCTCAATAGGGCCAAAACGACCGAACTCCCGCTCCAAGTCCGACTCCTTGACATCGTAGCTCAGTCTGGCAACGAAAAGGGTCCTGAACGGGTCTCCGCGAGCTTGTTGATCATTCGACGGATCATCTGTGGCGCGGCCAACGGATATCAGCAAAACCGGCGGTTCACAATTCATCAAGAGGTAGGAACTAATGAGAAGAGAGATGCATACATCCTTCGAGCCCTTCTGTGACTTGCTTCTCCATGTTTTCCTTCTTCTCCACCTTCTGTCGCAACTTGCGCTGAATCCAGCTCTCTGTGGCATTGTAGGGGACCTCCTCTTCGTACTGCTTCAGCTCGGGCAGGAATTGCGCAATCCCACCGATGGAACTCTTCTTGCAGTCCTCGGGGGCCCGATTGATGGGCGTGACATAGCGGAGGGGCGGGCGAGGCTGGAACAGCGCCAGAAGCGGAGGGGGGAGCTTGTCCGTCATTTTGCGCCCTTGTCAGGTCACAAAAGGTTTCGGATGCGGGAGAATACTCGAAAACTCTCTAGCCTATTATCTGACGGAGACCATCCAAATGACTGAGGATTTTTTCGATGTGTTGGAAAATCGAATCGGTATTCCCTCTTCTTTTGAATCCCGACCTTCTGTGGTTGGGGGTGAGATGAGATGAGGTAAGTGTCGAAGCTCCGGGCAGTACTGAGTGTTGGATTCGAGTTTCGCGTCGTTGTCGTCCTTTCCACGGGCTCCCGCTAGTACCAGGTTGAGTTCCAGTTGTCTTGGCACCGGTCGAGAGCCGCCTAGTCGCGGTAGCCGAGTTTACCGCCATGGCCAATGATGGGCGGGGAGTCTCGGGTGCGCCGCGCCGCTGAAAAGTCCCCGACCAGGGTGTCACGGGTTCTGGAGATTGCAGTGTGGAAAGTCGTTCGACCGGCCAAACCAGACAACAGAGACAATATACAGCGCCATGCCTGTCCAAGGGATCCGGACGGTGACGACCGCCAGAGTATGCTCTGTTTCTTGCCTCTAGACCCTTGAAGTATCCTGAAGAATTGGACTAACGCGCTTGTTCAGAACGGTGTCGGAGCCTTTATCCTACAATGCAAGCAGTTGGACTTCCACTACTGCGACTGGGCTGGTAGCTCTCGCGGCATGGTGTATGTCTCTTCCCCAAGTAGCCAGTCTGAAGAGGCTTGAGAAGCATAATCTGGAAGCATATACTGACGGTTCCAACTCTATACAGTTCCTTCCTCAAGCACCACCTCCCCTCTTTCGCCAAAGCCAACCCCCAGATCGAGATCCGAGTATCGCCCCGGCCACACAAGCACCCCGTCATCAAGGGACACTACATCAACGGCCGAGAGAAGGCGATCTGTGTCCGCAACCTCGAGCCCGAGCAGATCTTCAACAAGGCGAATCTGCTGAAGGCGGCCAGCGGCGAGAAGACGAAGCGCACCAAGAAGCCCATCACGAGTCTTAACGAGAGCGTGAGAGGTATCTGGGACCCTTTCCACGGTGGCCTCAAGTCGGTGTAAGTGGGAATTGGGTATCTGGTTACTGCAGTGGTGTTACAATTTGGAAACTCTTTTTGTTTGGTTTATTCGTTATGGGCTAGCTTGTTTTCATGCTTCGGCATTCCCTTCTCCCGCGGGAGAACCTCCAACGTGGTTCTGTCTTGCAACCGGATATGTATCATATGTACAAATTGCTTTTGAAATTGTTCCTACGGGTATGTGCTATCTTGGAAAAGCGTCATCTAAGTATATTGGAACAATATCATTATCCACATGTATATGCAAGGCCAATGCATATCGTATCCGGACCAGAATGCTTTAAGACCGATATCGACAAGAAACATGGTGCAACCCTTCGACTAAAAAGCGGAAGGGAGGGATGAACATTAGAAATGAGAAGAAAATGGGGTATCCTGATGCATCGTGGTCATATGTTATGAGAATGTGAAAGAAGCCCCGCAGTTAAACGCCAGCGACATGCAACCAAATGCAAACCTGTTCTCATGACTCCCAAATCCTCAAAAATGCAGCAAGATGGGCCATGGGTCAGAGGTAGATTTGAAGCATGGCTTTGTGTGAGCTGACTGGTTTGCCACAGTCTGGCACCTGACATACAGAGAATGGTTTTGTGGAGGACGACTTTTTTGATTTGGCCTTGGAGCGGTGGTGGGCACAACGGCCACAGTATACCTGTGCACGTTAGTAGTGGCCTTGCAATGGTCGAAGGGAACGAGGAAGGGTACGTACATGTCCACATTGCTTTGCTACCCATATTTGCTGCCTAATCTCATCGCCAACGCCCAGCTCCCCGTCGCAGTTGGGGCATACCACAACGTCATCCTCTTCAAGGGTCCTTGTGAATCCATCCGGTGGAGGGCTCGGCGGCTTGTAGGCGCTCGCCGGGGGTCTTTCAGGTCTTCTCACGTCAGGTCTTCGCATGTCGAAATTAAACGTCAGGTCAATAGCGCCCGCTGGATGCTCTCCGATATATGATACGTCCACATCTGGTGGCCGCAAGACTCGATGTCGTGCGGGGAACCTGCCCTGTGACATGTTGAAGATCCTTAATAACTGTGGTGCCCATTCTGGAATCGTCGAGGACGGAGGAGGTCGTGAAGGCCGAGCGGTAGCACCAATAAACTGTACCTCCGGGCTGCTGGGAGGTTCATCTTGCGTCAAGTCTTCATATTCTTCTTCCAGATCCACCACTACCGGGACCCTCGATTGTGAGTTTTGTGTGGAGTGATCTTGGTGGTTATTCCGAACATCGTGAGTTGCGTTGGGCTGAGGAGGATCTGAGTCCAGGGTCAAGTCGATGACTTCTTCTGCGTTGGGGGTCGCCGATGCGATGGGCCGACGAAAGTCAAAGCCATCTCCGGGATACCGCCGTCGTGGTGGCGAGGGCGGAGGAAGCGTCCTGGACGATGATGACTCGCCGCCGGAAAATTGTGGGGGTGTAGCTCTTGCTATTTCATGATGCGGTCGCTGCATAAAAGGTCAATTAAGTTATAGATAACTCAACGAGGCCGAAATGGGTGTACCCCGCCTGAGGGGAAAGATTGAGGGCATGCGGCAAAATGGGCGGACTAGCGGGGAGAGAAGGAGACTACCAACCTTCCTTGGCCTAGAAGTCACAAATTGAACACCTGAATCGTCACTCATGATGGGCATCCGAGTGAAAATGAAACAGCAGATGAAGCCCCAAGCGAGGGGAAGTGAGGAAAGGGGGAGAGAGAGATGAGAGAGAAGTGGAGAGAGAAGAGTGGGAGGTTGTTATCAAAGAAAGGCCGAGGCGGAGTTTAGGCCTCATTGCCGGCGGTAGACGGTGGAGGCCATAGTTAATGGTTGCTTAGTAGGCAGTGGAGGTGAAGGACTGAGAGCGGTTAGAGGTCCATATCAATGGTAGTCCTTTAGTTTTTCGGCTTTTGGCTGGGTCCCGGCATATCGGCTCCCTTGGGTTTCTTTTCCTCCGGTTGAACTGTGGTGGTGATTAATCAGATTAATCAAGGGCTGAATAGTTAAGTTATGTACAGTAGTGACGTTACGGAGTACACTGACTGTAAGTAACCGGTGACGCTGCCAATGCGCCAATGACCTTTTCTCAGCCGGGATTTTGCCCGCTCCAACAACAACTGGCCAAAATTGGGTGACAACTCGGTTTTGTTTCTATATGTGATCAGGCACCACCAACATTCATTTTGTTCTGTTTATTCTGGTTCATTGGAATTAAATGATCCGGTTCATGGTCTGGCTCGTGGGATGGAAAAGCAAAACACGAAAAAAAAAGAGTCCAAGCAGAGACGCCATTCACAAATAATCAAATGAAACCACAGCCAGCTAGAATTACAGAATAATCATTGTTGATTTTGGATCCAAATTCACCAGGTATCAAACAGAATTACTGTGCGGTAAGCTGAGTCACACCTCCCTCAGTGTTCAGCGCCACAATGCTCTGAGCAGCAGAACCCCAGACCGCTGCCACCGCGGGTACGGCGCTCCGCAGGGACTCCGACCACGATTTGGCCGCCTTGGAGTACTGGTTCACCGTCAACCCGCTGGGTCCGGCCGTGAGCAAGAATTGTCCGGTGTAGTCCCAGTTGATGGAATCAACCTGGCTGCCTGTCTCAATCACCTTGATCTCCTGACCGTTGCGAAGATCCCAAATGGACACAGTGGTGGAGTTCTCAGCCACGGCAGCCAAGAAAGTACCGTTCTCAGAGAAGAAGAGACCCTTCACAGGGGCGGGCATGGCGAAGCTCGCGGCGGCAGCACCGGTCTTGACATCGAAAATCTTGATTTGGCCATCCTGACCACCGGCAGCAAGGAGGTGGCCATCAGGGTGGAAGTGAATGGAAAGGAGGGCTAGATCAAACATCGAGCGTTAGTCGGATTCCACCCAGTAAGGGACTCCCAAAGGGCTGCTTACAAGCATCGCTAAAGATCTGGGTGATAACAGAGTTCGTCGTCAAGTCATACAGCACGTAGCTCTTGTCGGCGCCAACGGAAGCAACGATGTCGCCAGTGGCATGTACAGCCACAGCCGTGGCGGCTCCAGCGTGAGAGCTGAAGTTCGCAATCTCGGTTCCATTCTCAAAGACTTTGACAGAGCCCGTAGAGGAAGCAATGATAGCCTTCTCACCAGCCCATGCAGCACTAGTGATGGGTCCACTCGCTGGCAGGGCTTGAACCACCTGTTTCTGGGATACGGAGTACACACTGGCGGTACCGTCTGCGCCGCCGACGATAGCCAATTCACCGGACGAGTTGACAGACAACGTCTTTGCGCCGGGCTGGAGAGTCTCGGAGGTTTGGGTAGGCTTGAAGGCGGAGATCGCTTCACTCGTAGCCCAGCCCTCGGGGATGGGACGCTTGCGACGGGTCTTGGAGAGCCTGTTTGCAAGTGAGTCAGCAGCGGGCTCCTGCCAGTTGGTCATGGCACGGAAGACTTACGCAGCCTGTGTACTTTCCACGCGAGCGAGGACGGCTTCGGGCAGACCAGTCGAATCCACCTGCATAGCCTCGCCAGCGCCCTTGGCACTGACAGTAACCTTAGATAGTGCATCGCGGGCTTCGTCCCTTTCTTTCGTCAACCGAGCAATCACCCGAACGGCGGCATCGTGCTGGTAGAGCGCCGCGCTCAATTCCTGCCGGGTCTGTGCCAGAGTCTGTCGTAGCGTGTAGGTCTCAAGAGCCAGGGCATCCCACTCCTCTTGGAAGACGCTGAGCAATGAGGGGATCGAGGTGAGGGTGGGGGGTCTAGGCCGGACAACGCGCTGGGACTTGACTTCGATGAGTTCGTCTGCGGCAAGCTCCTCCCCATTGACGGGGTCCTTGCCGTTCTCCGCAATGTACGCCTCGATGAGTCGCTTCTCGAACACACTGCCTGCTGAGACGTCAGATACGAGTAGGTCGCATTGATGCGCACGCGAGAGGGTGCAACGTACCGCTCTTGGGCGAGACGACGGGCACTTGTGGTGCCTCTCCTGAGACTATTGGCAATTTTTGGTCAGCATCGAAGCTACACAGACGCGTAAGATCCATAGACTCACTTGCGCACAGCATGTTTATGTGAATGTGATGATTGATGAGGAGGTTGTTGGTTGAAGGTGCAGCTTGCGGGCTCCTGTGGACTTTTCGACCTCGCCCGATCTGGATTAGCCGCACCGCAAGCCTGATCGCTGACGATTGCTTGGCGGTTCAACCTTACCATTCGAGCTCCTCCTTTTCGACCGATGGAGCTTTGGAAAACAAAGTATTGCCTTCTGGCTACCTTGGCTCTTGATCACAATTCGTTTGACAAGAATTCCACACAGCATTGAAGTCAAATTTCACCAGATTACGGAGTGACAGCGTGGCTTTCTACGTCACAGCAGTGGACGCGACACTAGAACTTAAGAGGTTCCCCACACCTTTGCTGTGAAGCGCTATTGTGGCCGCGTCCTGAGCTGCTTCGATAACAACTCCAAACCTCATATCTGTACATATGGATAAACTCACTACACTCACTCGTGCATAGCTAACAGACTGCATTCCTGGCTGGTCACAATCATGTCCTTCAAGTCAAAAGACCTCGCCTACGGTACGTTCGACCCCAGCAGCATCCGGGACTCAGAGTAACATGTCGCAGAGGCCAAGGAGCCAGCTTTTCTACAGAGACTTAGAAATCAGTACGGGGACAATTCGGGTCGCCTTGAGAGACCCGTTGCCCGGCCACGGAAGCCGCGCGAGGAACACGACGACGATGGACCTACCTACGTGGACGAAGAGAGCAACGACATCATCTCCAAAGAGGAATATGAAGCTCTTGTGCGAGGAGACAAACCCTCCGAGGATGATGATCAATCCGACAAGGATCATAAGGACGAAAATAAGTCCGCAGGCCAGCCCGGGGAGGGTAGTAGATCAGACACTGGGGCTGAGACATCGGCCTCCAAGCAGAACATCGCCGAAATTGGCGGGCCACGCAAAAGAAAACAAGCCAAGGTTATCGGTGAAGACGCCCCAGCCGCAGAGAGTGAAGATACCAAAAAGAAAGACTCGTCGGGCGTGCGAAAAGCGAAACAGAAGAAGAAGATCAAGCTTTCGTTTGACGATGAGTCATGATGACAGATTTTGACTCATGAACATAGCCCAACAGATGATACCCTAGATCTCAGATCAAATGCTCTATTGCGCTGTATGAATAGACAGCTTGCTGGCATATTTGATATGTGCAGTGGCGGTCCCGTAGTTGTAGTTACTGTCAAACCGCAGCAATTAATAATCAGGAAGTGCGTGGAATCCACCAACTTCCTATTCATCCTTCTATTAAGACATCTCAAGCACAATATTTTCTGTCAGTTTACTCTAGTATACCTGACTCCAGTTCGCGGGGTGGAAAGAAGAGAGTCAGGACTCTGACGCAGGGCCAAAATCCTGAGAACAATTTTTTCCCCTCAAATTCCGCAGCGAACGGCGGAACCAAAAAACCAACCCATCCGTTCATTCAATCGAACCTCACTCTTGAAACCGTGGGAGCTGTGTGACAGCACCAATCCGTCTTCAAGATGCCTGTTGTCAATGTAGATGACCTCGTTCGTCTACAACGGAAGCCCAATGATATCCGGAATGTAAGTTGAGTCTCAACTTACCCCTCCATCATCCCACTTTGCATGACATGACGTCGGACTTCCTCGCGCACTCATGTTTCTTTGTCGCAACACAGCCAGAACAACGCTAATGTTTACATTCAGATCTGCATTCTCGCTCACGTTGTAGGTAGCAGCCTCAAGAAAAAAATCTGATCCTGTGGGCGCAAGGGACCTCGAGACTTACAAGTTGATATCATACAGGATCATGGTAAAACATCCTTGACGGATAGTCTGATTGCCACCAATGGTATTATCTCTCCCAAGCTGGCGGGCAAGATCCGCTACCTGGACTCCCGTCCAGATGAGCAGCTCCGGGGTATCACCATGGAGTCGTCGGCCATCTCTCTGTTCTTCTCCATGATGCGCCGTCCCGCGCCCGACGCCGCCCCCGAGCCCAAGGAGTATCTGATCAACCTGATCGATTCTCCGGGGCACATCGATTTCAGCAGCGAAGTGTCGACTGCCTCGCGCCTATGCGACGGTGCCGTCGTTCTGGTCGACGCTGTCGAGGGCGTCTGCAGTCAGACGGTCACCGTGCTGCGTCAAGCCTGGGTGGAGCAACTGAAGCCCATTCTGGTGATCAACAAGATCGACCGACTGGTGACGGAGTTGAAGATGAGCCCTGGTGAGGCCTACTTGCACATGAGCAAGCTGCTGGAGCAGGTCAATGCGGTGATCGGAAGTTTCTACCAGGGTGAGCGCATGGAAGAGGACCTGCAGTGGCGGGAGCGCATGGAAGAGCGCCTCAACAAGAAACAAGATCACGACGACGAGCAAACGACTGAGTATGAGGAGAAGGACGACGAGGATCTGTACTTTGCACCAGAGAAGAACAACGTCATCTTCTGCAGTGCAGTCGATGGCTGGGCCTTTACAGTTCGACAGTTCGCTGTGATCTACGAGAAGAAGCTCGGAATCAAGCGTGAGATTCTGGAGAAGGTCCTCTGGGGAGACTATTATCTGGATCCCAAGACCAAGCGAGTCCTTGGGCAGAAGCACCTGAAGGGCCGCGCTCTCAAGCCGATGTTCGTTCAGCTTGTGCTGGACAGTATCTGGGCAGCATACGAAGCGACGACTGGCGGAGGTTCAGGGCGGGGGTAAGAGAAGTTACCTGTTCACGGTCCCTTGTTCGTTTACTGACCGTCAACAGCGATCCAGCCTTGTTGGAAAAGATCACCAAATCTCTGAACATCAACATTCCTCCTTACATCCTACGCTCCCGCGACCCTAAGAACATCATGACCACCTTGTTCTCGATGTGGCTGCCTCTTTCGACCGCTGTCCTGGTCTCTGTCATTGAATACCTTCCTAGTCCGCCCGCGGCTCAAGCAACCCGTCTACCGGCCTTGATTGCCGACTCCCCGGGAGCAGACTTCGTTGACCAGAAGGTGAAGGACGCCATGATCAGCTTCAAGACGGAGCCGAACGAGCCAGTTGTGGCCTACGTCAGTAAGATGGTCGCCATCCCGGAGAGTGAGCTCTCCTCGAGCAAGAAGCGCTCTGGTACCACCATGTCCGCGGATGAAGCGCGGGAGATAGCCCGCAAGAAGAGAGAGGAGATCGCCAAAATGCAGGCGGAAGCTGGCGGTCAGCAGCAAGACGATTTCTCTCGCGTGACGTCCGCCCTCGAACGGACCTATCTTGACGATGCGCCAGCTGAGCCCGAGGAGAAAGAGGACCCCGAACATTTGATTGGGTTCGCACGTCTCTACTCGGGTACGCTCTCCGTGGGAGACTCCGTGTATGTGATCGCTCCCAAGTTCAACCCGGAGAACCCGCATGCCAGCCCCGAACCCCAGAAGGTTACAGTCACCGATCTGTACCTGCTAATGGGACGAAGCTTGGAGCCTCTCCAGTCCGTGCCTGCGGGTGTTGTTTTTGGTATTGGAGGTCTTGCTGGCCACGTCTTGAAGACGGGGACGCTCTGCTCGCAACTTGAGGGTAGCATCAACTTGGCGGGTGTTTCGTTGAACACTCCTCCCATCGTCCGCGTTGCCCTGGAGCCTGTGAACCCGGCCGACTTGAGTAAGATGGTCACCGGCCTACGGCTCCTCGAACAAAGTGACCCTTGCGCGCAATACGAGGTCCTCGACAGCGGTGAGCATGTGATCCTGACAGCTGGTGAACTGCACTTAGAACGTTGCTTGAAGGACCTGCGCGAGCGTTTCGCCAAATGTGACATCCAAACCGGTCAGACCATCGTGCCCTACCGCGAGACGATCATCAGCGCCCCGGAGATGGCCGCACTTAAGAACCCCGAGCTCGGCCGCGGCGGCATCCTGGCCGTGTCGCCCTCGAAGCAACTGACCATGCGACTGCGTGTGGTGCCCCTGCCATCGGCTGTCACGGAGTTCTTTTCCAAGCACGTGGGGACCATCAAGCGACTGCAAACCCAGAAACGAACTGCTGCGGAGAACAAATCCGGCGGCACCGACACCGAAGGTACGGTGGAGAGCAGCCAGCCCGTGGAAGCCAGCGAAGCCACCACCGAGGAAGCCCGCGAGGCGACTCTCCTGTCGCTGCAGGAATTCCGCGCCGAGCTCAACAAGATCTTCGACGAAGAGGTCAAAGAGGACAAAGAGCTGTGGAAGAACGTGGTCGACCGGATCACGGCCTTTGGGCCCCGACGAGTCGGCCCTAACATCCTGGTGGATGCTACCACCGTGAACACCTGCGAGAAATTGTAAGTCCAGCCAGCAGCAGCCAGCAGCGCCCTTTTCTTCCACCAGCCCCCACCCCCTCAATCCTCATAATCAAGCACACATAACTAACATTCAGCCCCCCCCCCGAAAGCCTCCTCGACGACCCCAAACAGCAACCCACCGTCACCGCAGACACCACCAACAGCCGCGAGGCCCTGATCGTCCGCGACTTCAACGACAAGATCGCGTACGCCTTCCAGCTGGCGACGGGCCAAGGGCCCCTCTGCCAGGAACCCATGCAAGGCGTCGCCGTATTCCTAGAAGAACTCTCCGCGACCTCCACCAACGGCGAAGACCTCGATCTAGGCCGGCTGACGGGTGAGGCCATCCGCCTGGTTCGCGAGAGTATCTCGCAGGGATTCCTAGATTGGAGTCCCCGCATCATGCTTGCCATGTATAGTTGTGAGATTCAAGCGTCGAGTATGTTATCCCCCCCTCCCCTTCACAAAAAAAAACCGTCTTACCCCACCCCCAAAATCTCTCAAACACAAAGCTAACCCCCCCGGAATAGCCGAAGTCCTAGGCCGCGTCTACGGCGTCATCACCCGCCGCCGGGGCCGCATCCTCTCCGAGACGATGAAGGAAGGCACCCCGTTCTTCACGATCCTGGCCCTTCTCCCCGTGGCCGAGTCGTTCGGGTTCGCCGACGAGATCCGCAAGCGCACGTCGGGCGCCGCCCAGCCGCAGCTGATCTTCGCGGGCTACGAGGCCCTCGACGAGGACCCCTTCTGGGTGCCCGCCACCGAGGAGGAGCTCGAGGATCTGGGCGAG